CCACATCACACCCGGGGCTCCCGGCCAGGCCCGGCGGCTCCAGAGGAGGCCGTGAAGGGGGCAAAGCTCCCTGCCCTGCACCTGGGTTTTCTGAGGGCTGTAAAGTGCAGTGGCAAGCTAGAGATGCCTCCCTGGGGCTGGGAGAAGGGAGAGCAGCCCTCGCCCCCCACATCACCCCATGGCTGCCCTGCTCCAGAGCAGCGTTAGGGGTGACACTCCCTCTCTCCCCATACCCCACAGGGTGGCTGAAAAGGAGCCTATCAACAAAATGTCTCTCCACAATCTGGCCACGGTCTTTGGGCCAACACTGCTGAGACCCTCAGAGGGGGAGAGCAAGGCACACCTCACCTTGGCCTCCGACATCTGGTCCCACGATGTGATGGCCCAGGTAAGAGCAGTGCTGGCAGTGCTGGGTGGGGAATGGAGGGGTTCACCTGCCTGTCTAGGTAGATTTGTCACTCTTTGCTGCACAGGGACAAGCTGGGAGGCGGCAGCTCTTCCCTTTTCTGGAGTAACACCCCACATTTGGCTTCTGCAGGTCCAGGTCCTTCTCTACTACCTGCAGCATCCTCCCATCTCCTTCACTGAGCTGAAGCGCAACACACTTTACTTCTCCACGGACGTGTAGCCTGCAGGGACAAGGCACCAGCTGCAAACACTCCCAGCTCCCTGCTGGGGGACACGGACTGGACCACAGCTCCCAGGGAGCCCAGCCCGGACCCAGGACGGTGCCTCCTGCAGCTCCTGTACAATCGCGTTCCAGGGGCCCGGTCCCGCCGTGCCTCTCTGTAAAGTAGTCGTGTCTTATGTCCCTCCTTGTGTTCAAGAATTGTTTTTATGTATATTTGCTCAACGGAAGAGGTAGTGACTGACAAGGGCTGTGGACACAGGCTTCCCCCTTGGCTAGTTTTCTCCTGGACTCCTTTCCACCCGCTCACTCCTACCAGGCACCCCTGACGCCTGCAGTGCCCCACGAGTGCCTGTTTTGCTGCCCAGCTCCCTTTGCCCCACGCCTGCATGTGCAGCACTGGCTCACCCAGGGCCTGGGAGCTCACGGGCCTCCCTCCCCAGTGATGGTGCCGACCAGCTCTGCTTTGACTTGCTGCCTGCGCAATCGTTGGACCCCGTGCCTGGATCCCGCTCTGGCCCGAGCAAACCTGCGACCACGAGAGCAGAGGGGCAGGTGCTGCTTCCTCCTCGCCTCAGCTCTTCTGGGTGTTTTCAGGCCAGTCCCCTCTACGGCCCTAATCCCGTGCTTTGCCTGTGTGTGTGCAGCATGGCGGTTACTTCCCTCGCTGGATCTCGCCTCATTTTGGGATAACCCCTCACACAAGGCTGGAGCGAGAGGTGCTGTGCTGGTCTCAACCCACGGCAGGCTGGAGGGATGGCCAGCCAGGCAGGTCTGCTTCCTGTGCCACGGGCTGACCCCATGTCTGTGCTCTGGTATCGATGGTGTCCCATCGGGGCACGTGGATCCCAAATTTCCCCAATGTGGAAATTTGGCAGGGCACAGGGTCCCCGCTGTACACCTGTGAGGCACTCATGCCCCTGCCAGCCCAGCACTGCCATGAGCATTGAATGCACCCTGTGGCAGAGCCTGCCAGGGCAGCAGCATTCCTGCTGTGGCCACAGGAATGAGGAGGTTTTTGTTTCCCTCCTTGGCCTTCCCCACTGCACCGGGCACATGGCAGCACATGGTCCTGCCTTGGAGGTAGCCACGCTGCCAGAGGCAAGTGCTCTGGAGCAACTGGATGGCCACCCAGCCTGGAAAGCAGCACAGAGGGACAGGAGGAGGAAAGCCTTCATGGCCTTCCCATCCAAAGGCAGAAGTGCTTCCTCTGCTGCTGGATTAGCCGTGCCTGGCCAGCTCAGGTCTGTCTCAGTGGCTCCAGTTCTTGTCCCCTCCCAGGCTGATGACTGGAGTTGTCAGGCCATGTCCCAAGGCAGGACAGCCACGTGCCTGCACTCGCTGCCAGGCTGTGCTCTGGCCGCCCAGTGCCTGGCTCCTGAGATGTCCCCAACCCTCCCACCCTCCCAGGTAGGTGTTGGTACCTGATGGGACACGAAACCTTTCGCTCTGTGAGCTGAGTCCGTGTTCTTGTGGGAAAAGCCCCCCCCACCTGCCCAACTGCGTTGGCCCTGTGCTCTCCTGTGCCAAATGGAGATGGATGAGAAGTGACCAAGCGTATCCCCGACAGCGGCGTTGCCTTTCCCCTCCCCACTAACGGACTGTTCCAGGTAGAGCCCGGCCCCCTGCCCCCAATGCACCAGGTATGTCCTCAGCCCACCCCCCTGGGGAAGGCAGCACCTGCCAGCCCTGCACCAGCAAAGCAACTAAGGAGGGGAGGTCTCTCAGTCCCCCTCCAAAGGGCTCACACTCCAGACCCTGCTCCTCTTGACTACCAGCTAAACAGAAGGGAAACAGCATTGCAGAAAATAACCAGGCGTCTGTCTTGGCCCTGGAACCCAGCAAGGAGGCCGAGCTTTAGATCTGACTGCACAACGGACCCCTGTGTGTGTCTGATTTGTTACATGTGTCCAAGTCTCTGTCCACGACACCGTCATTCCAGATGGAGACTCTGTACAGCCAAATCTCCCCCCGTGTGACAGTGGCTGGAGGCCTGGTCCCCAGGACTGGCTTTTGCTTGTTCCTACAGGAAGGAAAAAGAGGGGGGGGTGGACTCTTGCAGCTACAGGTAGAATAGAACTGTTAATTAATATTTGACTTTCAAAAGTTGTTAAGGATATATTTTTGTTTGTGTTCTGTTTCAATTTCTGTAGATTATAAACTTTAAATGGCTGTAAAACCATGTGAGGAGAAAAAAAAATGTTAATAAAAATGCAAAGCCCTGATATTTGCACAAAAGAAGCCCTGTGGTGTTGCTGTTTGCACTAACTGATCACCTTGGCATCACAGCTTCTACTCTTTCTGTCATGGAATTCTTGCTAGTTGCACTTCAAGCCAGTGGTATAAGCACAGGCAGTGTGCCAGGCAATATTTGAAGAGATTTCCTATGGTTTGGGCTACATCCTTGCATTTTGGAGGAAAACAACCTGGACTGTCTGGAGCCAGCCTGTTTAATCAGTCTAGAATTACTCAAGCTTAAAATTCAGCTGACTTGCACAGCTTCTGGCCTGAGGATACTAAACAGGCACAGCAAGGGACATCAGGAGATCTGGAAACCTCATCTGATAGATCACATGGTGCTGTGTGGGAATGGGAGACAGTGTGCCTCCAAACTGACCACTGCATCAGCCAAACCACCCTGCTAGGATTGCTCCTCCAGGTAAGCACATGCTGTCACTGTTCTGGGATGTCAAACTGTGGTTGCAAAGGAGGGGAAGTGGGTGGGAGAACCCCTGTTAGGTGTGTGCACTGCATCTGAAGTCCCACCGCCTCAAAAGGATGGTGTGACAGGAAGCAGACTGTGTGCTGAGTGAATGCCCAGTTATCTGTCAAACAGTGGTTTAGTCTCACAGCTCTGCTTTCTAGTCTCACTATCAAACTGCTGGAACTAATGGGGCGAGCCTGGGGCAGTTAAAGCAGTAGCAAAATTCTTTGTACTCCCACAGCGAGGTTAAATCAGGCTAGCCAAGTGGCTACAGAGAATTATACTTCAGCAATAACCTCTTTTCTTTCCCCTTAAACTGTTCTGTTCATCTGCCAGTAACCACATGGCTCTAAGGCTAAGGATTCCTTTCTGCTTTTCCCTTTAAGACATGGTAAAGAAATCTGGCGCTCATCTCTGTACTTATGAAATAAGACAAGTTGTACAGATGGTGGTTTGTCTTCAAATGGTATTTTAAGAAAAGCCTGGAACAAACTTATTTCTCCACAGGATCTTACCTCTCCCCAACAGAGTAGCAAGCTGCAAACTGGTAACTGTTAAATGCTTGCAGCACGTTCAGACACGCGGTAACCTAAATCGGAGCATTTCTGTTCGGAGATTGTCCTCCTGCCTCTTTTGATGCCAGCAACAGACTTAATCAAAATCAGATTGAAAAAGCTCAGAGTCCAGGCGTGTTTCCTGGAAACTGACAGTCAGCTGATCCATCCTGGAGATGCTGCTCTGTCCCTGGCTCCATCCTCGTGTACTCCCGCAAGTCTGCCCGGAGCAGCTCGCCCGGGCTGGGAGCCAGAGCGTTGTTAGTCATTCAGAAAAGCGGCCAACGCCGTCCCGCTCGCGCTCATCAGGACTCCAGAGGCAGTGGAAAGGTAAGCCTGGTGGTTGTGCTGTGGTGCAGGCTCTCAGCAGCAGCACTGGAGCTAAAGGGAAGGCTGCTCCGAGGGATCCGGCTGTTACCGCAGGTAGTAATCGACGGCAGCGGAGAAGGCGGCGAATCCCCCGCAGCCGATCACCCCGGCCTTCAACCCGGCTGCACGGCAAGGAGGGGGGGAAATGAGGCAAAATGAGAAAAATACTTCTCTTCCCAGTAACTCGCTTACGCTGTGCTGGCTCAAAGGGGTCACACCTGCAGGAACGTGGCAGTGCAACTCCAGGGAACGCCGGCACTGCCACTGCCCAAGGTGAGGGGGAGCCTGATGTACAACCCCCGCAGTGGCACCAGCAGGACACCCTGGCTGGGTCCTGTGTTGCTCAGTCTCCACAAAGGGACAGAAGAGAACACGCCACTGGCCACTACTGATTTTGGTGTGCTCTGATCTGAGCACTGCAAGTGGCTTTGTGGGACTAGGGAGGGACAGGAAGAGCAGTTACGGCTCTGAAAGCTCTAAGAGGATTAGGTCGAGGACAGACACAATTTAACAAGCTCAATTAGAAGCATTTTCAAGAGAGCTTTCTTCTCTTTTATGCTCTATGGACAGGCTTTTTACTTTAGGAGAGCTGTGAGAAGTTTGATATTTCTGATGAGCAGACCAGGTCTCTTCCTACTTGGTTTTTTTTCCAGATGTTATTACCACTCAAGGCTTCCCAAAGTCCCCACTACTGCTGCCAGACTAAAACCCCAGTGCTCCTACTCCATGCATATGTTTGATACGTAAGAAAGGAGGAGAGCAAATTAAGTGTTACTGCCAGTGAAATAGCAGATATAAATAAAGCTCTGTTCACACAAGAGCTGTAGCTTCGGAGTTGTATATTTTTGGCTTCCTCCTCACTACACCACAGAATAATGTTAGGTAGCATCTCCTCATTCTTCTTCTTGTAAATTTTGTTGATTTTCCACCAATCTCACTGCCTGTATGACCAAGCTTTCTCTACCCACACTTATCTTTGGAGCTGACAGAAGATGAGGGCGCAGCCCTGTCAGAACGGAGCACATCCTCATTTGGGCTTCACTACAGTCCCCATGCAGAGAGGTCTGCAGTGTGTGTTCCACACAGAACACTGTGTGCTCTATAACCAAATTCGAGTCTTATCACAGAAACAGTTCCCAGCAGGCACCACCAACCTCTGAAGCCGATGGCTCCCCCCGTGATGCAGCCACTGATAACACTGTTCTTCCAGTCTGACTTCCCACGATACTGTGGAATTAAAACTCAGAGTCAACAAGTAAATACGGAATAAACACTCACTATCTGCACTGACAGCAAGGAAGATTAAATGACCTTCCAGCCCCTTCTCAGCTGAGGATGTTTTTCCATCTGTTCTCAGCAGATGGCCCTGCACTCCCAAACTTGCAGGGCCAGGAGAGGAGGAAGGAACAGGTCTCTGGGAGAGGTAAGACAAATCCATATGGTGCAATGCAGTGCTACAGGAAGGATCCTCAGGTGAGCTGCTACATCCCCAGAACATAGCACTGAACATGAACACTTGCTTAGAGGGTTTAAAAGTGCTGTGACTACCTGAGTGCAGCCCTGAGCCCAGCCAAGCTGCTGGTTCTTGGCACAGGTGAGAGCCACAGCACCTGCTGACAAAGATGCACTGTTTCCATAGCCAGGACATGCTGGATTTTCATCAGTGTAGAGAACAATTTGTTCTGCTCCACTGTGCAAGCAGATACACTTTTCTTTAGATGAGTTAAGAAATAGCTGTGTCTTTCAATTAAAAGACAGGAGTCAAATTCATAACAGGGTAATTTTCCTATTTAAGAAACTGGATTATTGCTGAGCTGCACAAGTTCATTTCTTGCTGTAGGGGCCAGATGAAAACAGACTAACTGTTACTTAAGAACTCTAATCAAAGGATCCCATTCTACATATGGAATTTTTAGGCCCTCAAATTACCATGCTGCAACTCACTGTTTGAGTTTTAAAGTAAAAACTACTTGTAGCCAGGGTTTAAAAAAGCAACGCCTACACTTGCCAATACATTCAGGACTTAAACTGAAAAGGACTTTTCAAAGGGGATATACATACTTATGTGCATCTAGTACAAGTTTACTAAGTAAGTATACAATAAAACATTTCTCAGTGTTGAAGAGGTTATTACTCACAGATTCCACCACGCACTCCGTGCAGGAGAACATGGCACCCACGATGGCAAAGTTCTTGGCGTAGGAGATGCCCCTCTGCCCCATGTCCTTGAGCACCTCCTTGGCCGTGGGTGTGCGATAGGGATCCTTGGGATCAAACCCCACGTTGGTGTCGATCCCAGCCGTGAAGATCCCGAACGCACCTCCCAGGACAAACCCTGTCAAAGGCAAACAGTGTAACG